AGAAAGACGCTAGTCCAATTAGCCTCTCGGTGTGGAGTAATAGCGCGAGTATGAAATGGATGGATGAATAGAGTCAGCGTCTCTACAGCAACACCACAGGGGTTATTCCACATGACAAAGAGCCTTTAATTACCTCATTCTATGCTCTTTATTTCCCTGTGGCTGTGCCACTGTGTAAATCTTTCAAATACAGCTTTTCTCTCGTGCTCCTATTTGGACCATGAAACATGTCATGTCCATCTGTGGAACAAAAAATCTTCATCAAAACAACATCAAAATTTTTCCTTCTCTGCAACCATTATATGAAATACTTATTACTTTGGTGGAATGTGGCAATCATAAACCAGACCTCTGTGGAACACTGTGGGCTCGCAAGCTAGAAGAGATTTTTTTTTTTGTGGCACAAACGCAAAACCTAAAACACTGATTCCCACCTAAAGTGTTTAAAGGTATAGTTCACCCAAAAATAGAACTTCTGTCATCAGTTACTCACCCTCATGTCTTTCAAAAACCCATATGACTTTTGAAAATTGTCTTCTATTTGTTCATACCGTGCAAGTCAATGGGGTTGTTCATAGTCATGGGGTTTCACAGGTTTGGAACAACATGAGGGTCAGTAAATGATGACAGAGTTTTAAGGTGAACGGTCCCTTTAATCAGCCAAGCACATGGGCATTAAGTCTTTGCGAACACCCGGTTGTGTCTTAGGTGGACACACATGAGTGGCCCCGGATCATCAATAATAAAACTGCATCAGTGCATTTCTCCGGGGCAGTTCTCATGCTTTGCAATGCCTGGTAAAGGTGCTCTAATGAGGGTAACCCCACACCGCAATGCTCTTTCAGACACAATAATGAGTCCCTTTCACATGCTGTACCAAGCCCTGACCTTACTACATCCCTGTTGGCATGACCTCTCAAGGAAACAACCTTTCGCCCTGTTTGCAGTGTTGAAAACCACACCAAAGCCTCTTCGGTCATGCACTATGAACTTATGATCTTTGCCCTTAGAAGAAATTAAGCCTATTGCTTAACCCGCGTTGACCACAATGAATATGGAAGATTAATCCACCAAATCCCTGTCTTGTGTGGCATATCCCGGGGAGGGGATACGTACTGTAGCCAGCAGGCATTGAAGCCTCTGGCCTTAACTGACCTGATGCAGGGTGACTTCCGAGAGTTTAATAGACTCTCTATGTTACTCCATCAATCTCTTTACAACCTCTCAGTAGGACTCTTTATGTGCCTTCAAAACCCCGCAGGAGAAGATGGAGAAGCATGAGAGGACGAAAAAGATTTGGAGGATTGGAGGCATGGGGACATTTCATTTACAAGACATTCTCATTGTACCCAAGTGCTTCAAAGCTGATGTATTTACCCCTCTTCACCTTTCTCTCTCTCCCTCCTGCTCATATCTGCATGTCTTCAGCTCTGACAGCTGCTCACTTAATAGATCCCATTTGACAGTGCATAAGCCAATTAAAATGCTGCTGATTTAATTGAGCTGGGCAAAATCAGCCTATGCCAGAAAATGAGTCCATTAAAGAGGCAATAGAGACCAGTGAAGTGGAGGCCATTCGTGCTGTGAACCAAAGTCACATGCCGTCCCTTGCCTCCTCCCTCCATGCTCTGCACATTCCCATTTGGGAAGAGCAGGACTCTGTGAGGGCTGAATATTGATGCTGGATTTCAGGCAAATGGAAGTCAATGAATGGGTTTGTTCAGTGGCTTCGCCAAGTGAGTCTAAAGCAGAGGTGTCAAATCTCGCTCCTGTAGGGCCAGAGTCCAGCAGAGCTTACCTGTAGCCCCAATTAAACACACACGAACCAGACAAATCAAAGTATGTAGGAACACTAGAAACTTTCAGGCAGGTGTGTTGAAGCTCAACTCTGCAGGAAAGTGGCCCTCCAGCACCCTGGTCTAAAGGTATGTCATGGTCAGGACTGTGCTTCGGTTTCAATTCTTGGGGAAACATTGTGACATATTGTGGAATAAATCTCTCTGGAACTTCTGAGCCATATTTAAAACAACATCCATGCGGTTTCTGTTTTCTCCATCATGACATTATGCCAATTGGGAGATAACGGTATATCTTACTCAACCAGACAGAAAAGCTCTATGCTTACTTTAAGCAGAGCAAAAGATAAAAGAAGCCACTTCATCCGGATCAAAATGAGCCTGAGAGGAGCAGCAGTCCCTGGTGCGTGTACCCATAACTTTTGGGGCTAAAACTAGTTGAAGCATTCAGGTAACTTACATAGAGTTCTGCATGATAGAGGCTATCTTTACGGATAATTAAAATTCTCTATCATTCTCATGCAGATAGATTGAACGACTGAGGTTTGAGTATAATCTAGCAAGTGTAACTTTCTCTCACTTTAATGCTGGCTTCTATCTCAGCAAAACCTTGCTGATAGGCGAAAAGTTCTCAGATATCAGTTGCTCTTTGGTGAAGGAAGGGCTTCATTACTAGTAATTCAAACCCAAAACCAGGTTTCCGTAATCTAAAACAGCCACCTTGTATAAATAAATCTCTGAACCACAGATCCATCCCTGTCATCCAGTCTGGGAAATGAGGCATTCATTTAGAGAGCCAGGCTCTTGTTCAGTCAGAGCAGGTAAAGTCGTTTAGCAATGCCTGGACTGGCCACTCACTCACAGTGTGTGTTTAAGGAGAAATGGGAAGGGAATGAGATTTCAGATATGACAAAGAGGAAATGGATGAACTTGACAATCAAAAGACAACGAGAGGATGAGATCTCAAACCTTAGAGGCGAGGTTCCTCCTAACCACACAGTCTCAAAGTTAAACTGTGTGACATCTACAATGTGAAACTTTTCTTTCAGATCAAAATGTAGCCACTCAATCGTGAAATAGTCTCAAAACACAGCCCCAATTTCAAATCCCAATCTTTGGCTATTGCTCGTCACAGGGTGAACTTGACTTTACCAGGTCAGATCTCTGCTGTAGCGACTACCCCCCCCTGAGTGCTCATCTTGAAGGGCTCACTGAGGCAATGCAATAAAATCTGAAATGAGGAACAGCATGCCTGCCTGCAGAGAGAGGAGATGAGTATATGGGCTGCATCACTGAAGCCCTGCAGCTGTGGGTCTGTTTGGAAGACATGGTTCATAACCAGCTGGCTCCGACAAGTGATCATCTCTCCCTAACACACACACAGCACTCCCAACATCAAGCCGGTGCTGAGCGGTTGCCCGTAATTTCATTTTATCATTGATGTCATCCGATTTGACAGGCAAGAAACGGCAGGACACAAATTGCACACAATAAGATGTGCCGATACACTCTGAAACGAAACTCTCTCTTTCTCTCGCTCACACTGGATCTCTTTTTTTCTGCTTTCGCTCCTGCTGTCTCCAAACCTCATATTTTCTTTATAGGACAATGCAGACCTGACAGGAAAGTAGAAGGGGAATGAGAATGATTCGAACTCTGTGAGCCATAACTCTTTATATATCATGAGGACATGCATTATCCATCGTGCCACAGCTCTGACAACCTCATTTTCTTATTATTAAAGGTTCATGGAGTCTAAAGGAGGAGGCCTGACATTTCTTGTGTCAAAGACAACATTAGTCACATTCAGTACATCAAAGACCATACTCAGACTTTAATTCATATATATAAAGAAGCAGACAGATGCTGTGAACCAAACATTGTTGAACTGGACTATAAAACAAGTCTTAAAAACCCAATTTAAAAATAAAAACACTCCAAAACCAAACACATTTACGTCTGAAAGGTGCATCATATCAGCCAGGCACAGGTGTCAGATTAAAACTCACAGCCCAAGTTATGACACACTCAGAGTACTGCACTTCAAAGGCGTGCCGATCAAAGCGCGGGATGTGTACTGGAGCATAGGGCTTGATTAATCCCCTCGAGTGTGACTCAGGACCGTGTCGACCCGCCAGCAAAGAATCGGTTGTCTCCTGAGCAACAAAGTGCAGCTGTGGGGCGACTGCAACGTGTAGCGGGCAGATTCAGCACCACGGAGAGCGCCTGCTCTGCACAGGTGGGAGGCTTGGAGAAGCCATGCTGAGGCGTTGAGTGATGGGATTAATGAATGAATAACACATCAATAGGGAATGCATTATTGTAATCGCCTTCAGTGCTTAACGTCACATGAATCAGCTATGTCTCTCAGTATGTTCACTTACTGTGTGAAAATTACAACATTGTGCCACAGGTGCTTTGAGACGGTTAGTTATAAACAAGCAAGGCTTCCAAAGGAAGGAAGAGTCTGTGCTCAATCTGACACTGGTGAGGTGTTATATGACAGAAGCACACTTTCTCCTTTACAGTGATTACATTCAGAGATATAAAGGGAGAAGTAACTCTAAAACCGTATTCCTCAATTCCTAAACTGTCAGAAAAAGATTCAAACGCATTGTTACTGACATTCACATTGACAGCAAATTTATATATGAACTACACAGCCAATGCTTTAATCATTTCACTCACTAGTGTATTCAGGTAACATTTTGCTTAAAGTTTTAATATTTTATATTGAAATTATTATAAATATTTTATTAATTAAAAAAACTATAAAATATGTTATATTATAAATTTAAAAACTACAACACAAAATAGAATAAAATATATAAAAATATACAAAAGTTCTAAGTATTTTTTTATTTCATATAAGGATGTGAATGCATATTGCAGAAAAAAAGTAAAATGAAATAGCTTGATAGGTTTTGTCTTTTCAAGCAATGAGACAGTAATGGATAGCCCCTGACTCACGGGCCAGATAGAGAGAGAGAGGAAGAGAGAGAGGAGAGAGAGAGGGGGAGTCTATTTCTTAGATTGATATCAGTTTTATTGATCTCCCCCTGCCGTTGATGTGTTCTATCTCCGCCAGCTCTCAACTTTTCGGGACGCGTTGGTGTAAAAGGGCTGCTTTGTAGCAGTAATGACAGCAGATCATACGCGCAAGCTCATTCAGTAAGTTTGCGCATCACAACAACATCGACTCACCCCAGCGTTGTCATGGTGACGATGGTGTACCAGAAAGCCGCCGGTATGCTGGTGAACTTGCTGGCGGATGAGCTCTTCTCCGCGTAGAACATGACGGTGGCGAAGATGATGATGGCCATGGTTAGCGAGAAGAGCAGGAAGCCCAGCTCGGACGCGCAGCTCTTGAGCGTGTACCCCAGGATGCGCAGTCCCGCGGAGTGCCGCGAAAATTTGAAAATCCGAAAGACCCTGAAGACCCTGAGGGTGACGAAGGCCCCGCTCACGTCCTCGTTGTCAGTCATGACCAAGCCGATGTAGTAAGGCATGATGGCCACCACGTCAATGATGCTCATGACGCTTTTGAGGAACTTGTACCGAAAGAGGAGGAGGAAGAAAGCCCTCTGTCTGTTTCATTCAACTGATTAAAGGCAGCCATCTGAGGAGTGCATGCTCCATTTTCAACACATTTTTTATGGTGTTTGAACCATCACAGAGAGGGCAAATAAAAAGAGGAAGCGAATAAAAATGTGGAATAAAAGAAAAGTTGAGGAAGAAAATTATGGTAGTAAAAAAGGAAGACAGAACGAGAGTTAAGGAGAAAGACGCTAGTCCAATTAGCCTCTCGGTGTGGAGTAATAGCGCGAGTATGAAATGGATGGATGAATAGAGTCAGCGTCTCTACAGCAACACCACAGGGGTTATTCCACATGACAAAGAGCCTTTAATTACCTCATTCTATGCTCTTTATTTCCCTGTGGCTGTGCCACTGTGTAAATCTTTCAAATACAGCTTTTCTCTCGTGCTCCTATTTGGACCATGAAACATGTCATGTCCATCTGTGGAACAAAAAATCTTCATCAAAACAACATCAAAATTTTTCCTTCTCTGCAACCATTATATGAAATACTTATTACTTTGGTGGAATGTGGCAATCATAAACCAGACCTCTGTGGAACACTGTGGGCTCGCAAGCTAGAAGAGATTTTTTTTTTTGTGGCACAAACGCAAAACCTAAAACACTGATTCCCACCTAAAGTGTTTAAAGGTATAGTTCACACAAAAATAGAACTTCTGTCATCAGTTACTCACCCTCATGTCTTTCAAAAACCCATATGACTTTTGAAAATTGTCTTCTATTTGTTCATACCGTGCAAGTCAATGGGGTTGTTCATAGTCATGGGGTTTCACAGGTTTGGAACAACATGAGGGTCAGTAAATGATGACAGAGTTTTAAGGTGAACGGTCCCTTTAATCAGCCAAGCACATGGGCATTAAGTCTTTGCGAACACCCGGTTGTGTCTTAGGTGGACACACATGAGTGGCCCCGGATCATCAATAATAAAACTGCATCAGTGCATTTCTCCGGGGCAGTTCTCATGCTTTGCAATGCCTGGTAAAGGTGCTCTAATGAGGGTAACCCCACACCGCAATGCTCTTTCAGACACAATAATGAGTCCCTTTCACATGCTGTACCAAGCCCTGACCTTACTACATCCCTGTTGGCATGACCTCTCAAGGAAACAACCTTTCGCCCTGTTTGCAGTGTTGAAAACCACACCAAAGCCTCTTCGGTCATGCACTATGAACTTATGATCTTTGCCCTTAGAAGAAATTAAGCCTATTGCTTAACCCGCGTTGACCACAATGAATATGGAAGATTAATCCACCAAATCCCTGTCTTGTGTGGCATATCCCGGGGAGGGGATACGTACTGTAACCAGCAGGCATTGAATCCTCTGGCCTTAACTGACCTGATGCAGGGTGACTTCCGAGAGTTTAATAGACTCTCTATGTTACTCCATCAATCTCTTTACAACCTCTCAGTAGGACTCTTTATGTGCCTTCAAAACCCCGCAGGAGAAGATGGAGAAGCATGAGAGGACGAAAAAGATTTGGAGGATTGGAGGCATGGGGACATTTCATTTACAAGACATTCTCATTGTACCCAAGTGCTTCAAAGCTGATGTATTTACCCCTCTTCACCTTTCTCTCTCTCCCTCCTGCTCATATCTGCATGTCTTCAGCTCTGACAGCTGCTCACTTAATAGATCCCATTTGACAGTGCATAAGCCAATTAAAATGCTGCTGATTTAATTGAGCTGGGCAAAATCAGCCTATGCCAGAAAATGAGTCCATTAAAGAGGCAATAGAGACCAGTGAAGTGGAGGCCATTCGTGCTGTGAACCAAAGTCACATGCCGTCCCTTGCCTCCTCCCTCCATGCTCTGCACATTCCCATTTGGGAAGAGCAGGACTCTGTGAGGGCTGAATATTGATGCTGGATTTCAGGCAAATGGAAGTCAATGAATGGGTTTGTTCAGTGGCTTCGCCAAGTGAGTCTAAAGCAGAGGTGTCAAATCTCGCTCCTGTAGGGCCAGAGTCCAGCAGAGCTTACCTGTAGCCCCAATTAAACACACACGAACCAGACAAATCAAAGTATGTAGGAACACTAGAAACTTTCAGGCAGGTGTGTTGAAGCTCAACTCTGCAGGAAAGTGGCCCTCCAGCACCCTGGTCTAAAGGTATGTCATGGTCAGGACTGTGCTTCGGTTTCAATTCTTGGGGAAACATTGTGACATATTGTGGAATAAATCTCTCTGGAACTTCTGAGCCATATTTAAAACAACATCCATGCGGTTTCTGTTTTCTCCATCATGACATTATGCCAATTGGGAGATAACGGCATATCTTACTCAACCAGACAGAAAAGCTCTATGCTTACTTTAAGCAGAGCAAAAGATAAAAGAAGCCACTTCATCCGGATCAAAATGAGCCTGAGAGGAGCAGCAGTCCCTGGTGCGTGTACCCATAACTTTTGGGGCTAAAACTAGTTGAAGCATTCAGGTAACTTACATAGAGTTCTGCATGATAGAGGCTATCTTTACGGATAATTAAAATTCTCTATCATTCTCACGCAGATAGATTGAACGACTGAGGTTTGAGTATAATCTAGCAAGTGTAACTTTCTCTCACTTTAATGCTGGCTTCTATCTCAGCAAAACCTTGCTGATAGGCGAAAAGTTCTCAGATATCAGTTGCTCTTTGGTGAAGGAAGGGCTTCATTACTAGTAATTCAAACCCAAAACCAGGTTTCCGTAATCTAAAACAGCCACCTTGTATAAATAAATCTCTGAACCACAGATCCATCCCTGTCATCCAGTCTGGGAAATGAGGCATTCATTTAGAGAGCCAGGCTCTTGTTCAGTCAGAGCAGGTAAAGTCGTTTAGCAATGCCTGGACTGGCCACTCACTCACAGTGTGTGTTTAAGGAGAAATGGGAAGGGAATGAGATTTCAGATATGACAAAGAGGAAATGGATGAACTTGACAATCAAAAGACAACGAGAGGATGAGATCTCAAACCTTAGAGGCGAGGTTCCTCCTAACCACACAGTCTCAAAGTTAAACTGTGTGACATCTACAATGTGAAACTTTTCTTTCAGATCAAAATGTAGCCACTCAATCGTGAAATAGTCTCAAAACACAGCCCCAATTTCAAATCCCAATCTTTGGCTATTGCTCGTCACAGGGTGAACTTGACTTTACCAGGTCAGATCTCTGCTGTAGCGACTACCCCCCCCTGAGTGCTCATCTTGAAGGGCTCACTGAGGCAATGCAATAAAATCTGAAATGAGGAACAGCATGCCTGCCTGCAGAGAGAGGAGATGAGTATATGGGCTGCATCACTGAAGCCCTGCAGCTGTGGGTCTGTTTGGAAGACATGGTTCATAACCAGCTGGCTCCGACAAGTGATCATCTCTCCCTAACACACACACAGCACTCCCAACATCAAGCCGGTGCTGAGCGGTTGCCCGTAATTTCATTTTATCATTGATGTCATCCGATTTGACAGGCAAGAAACGGCAGGACACAAATTGCACACAATAAGATGTGCCGATACACTCTGAAACGAAACTCTCTCTTTCTCTCGCTCACACTGGATCTCTTTTTTTCTGCTTTCGCTCCTGCTGTCTCCAAACCTCATATTTTCTTTATAGGACAATGCAGACCTGACAGGAAAGTAGAAGGGGAATGAGAATGATTCGAACTCTGTGAGCCATAACTCTTTATATATCATGAGGACATGCATTATCCATCGTGCCACAGCTCTGACAACCTCATTTTCTTATTATTAAAGGTTCATGGAGTCTAAAGGAGGAGGCCTGACATTTCTTGTGTCAAAGACAACATTAGTCACATTCAGTACATCAAAGACCATACTCAGACTTTAATTCATATATATAAAGAAGCAGACAGATGCTGTGAACCAAACATTGTTGAACTGGACTATAAAACAAGTCTTAAAAACCCAATTTAAAAATAAAAACACTCCAAAACCAAACACATTTACGTCTGAAAGGTGCATCATATCAGCCAGGCACAGGTGTCAGATTAAAACTCACAGCCCAAGTTATGACACACTCAGAGTACTGCACTTCAAAGGCGTGCCGATCAAAGCGCGGGATGTGTACTGGAGCATAGGGCTTGATTAATCCCCTCGAGTGTGACTCAGGACCGTGTCGACCCGCCAGCAAAGAATCGGTTGTCTCCTGAGCAACAAAGTGCAGCTGTGGGGCGACTGCAACGTGTAGCAGGCAGATTCAGCACCACGGAGAGCGCCTGCTCTGCACAGGTGGGAGGCTTGGAGAAGCCATGCTGAGGCGTTGAGTGATGGGATTAATGAATGAATAACACATCAATAGGGAATGCATTATTGTAATCGCCTTCAGTGCTTAACGTCACATGAATCAGCTATGTCTCTCAGTATGTTCACTTACTGTGTGAAAATTACAACATTGTGCCACAGGTGCTTTGAGATGGTTAGTTATAAACAAGCAAGGCTTCCAAAGGAAGGAAGAGTCTGTGCTCAATCTGACACTGGTGAGGTGTTATATGACAGAAGCACACTTTCTCCTTTACAGTGATTACATTCAGAGATATAAAGGGAGAAGTAACTCTAAAACCGTATTCCTCAATTCCTAAACTGTCAGAAAAAGATTCAAACGCATTGTTACTGACATTCACATTGACAGCAAATTTATATATGAACTACACAGCCAATGCTTTAATCATTTCACTCACTAGTGTATTCAGGTAACATTTTGCTTAAAGTTTTAATATTTTATATTGAAATTATTATAAATATTTTATTAATTAAAAAAACTATAAAATATGTTATATTATAAATTTAAAAACTACAACACAAAATAGAATAAAATATATAAAAATATACAAAAGTTCTAAGTATTTTTTTATTTCATATAAGGATGTGAATGCATATTGCAGAAAAAAAGTAAAATGAAATAGCTTGATAGGTTTTGTCTT